AAGGCATGAGATACTATGAACAATGAGAAGCAGAGAAGTTACTAGTTTTTCATTTGGCCAAACGCTCAGCTCAGCTGTGCAGGACTCTGCAGTCCCAAGAATGTGAGTCTGCCTCCTCCTCCGCCCTCCCTCGTGATCATACAGCAGTGTGTAACTCATGCGCACTCATTTCATTCCGCTACACATCACGGCTGGACTTGTACACCTCTCCCAGTAAACTAAATGCTCTTGTAATGGCTGAAAGCACTTCTTGTCATCTTTGTGCTTCACATAATAGAGTAGAGGGCTTTGCACAGAGTAGGTACTCACTGTGTGTGGAAATGACTTCAAAAGCAGAGAGAGCATTTTGATTAAAAATAATAACAATTACAATTTCTAATATTTCCTCCAAGTATTTTAAGTTATTTTCCAAAACATTACTCATCAAAGAGAATTACTTTACATTTTATACAACAGATGGTTTACCTACCTCAAAATGACAACTCCTATGAAAAAATGGCTCTGATTTGTTTCATCACAAAACTTTTAAGGTAGATTTTGCCAACTATAAAACCATACCCCCAAATTCTTAAAACATTATGTAAATGCAAAGTCAGTGTTGTTTAAGGAAGTCTAATACTGAACTAATAGAAACTAAGTTTCTAAAACCTCATAAGATAGGAATTTCCTCAGATAGGAATTGTAAAAAATAATTCTGTGTGTGTGTCCATATATATGGAATGAGATAACAGAAAATGAGCCTAGGACTATAGAATTTCCTTATCTTGAAAAACAAACTTTTAAGACAACTTCAATGGCAATGTCCTCAAAACCTTATTATTTTGTTTTCACGTGATTTAGCATACCAGGTAAGCCACATTAAAAATAACCTCTTTTCTCTCTTTAAACTCTCTCTTCTGTTTCCAACATGAACAAATACTCAGGAACCTTAACTCTTAGAACCATAAAAATCTTACTGGACAAGGGGCTGGCCCCGTGGCCGAGTGGTTAAGTTGCCGCGCTCCACTGCAGGCGGCCCAGCGTTTCGTTGGTTCGAATCCTGGGCGCGGACACGGCACTGCTCATCAAAGTCACGCTGAGGCAGCGTCCCACATGCCACAACTAGAAGGACCCACAACGAAGAATATACAACTATGTACTGGGGGCTTTGGGGAGAAAAAAGGAAATAAAATAAAATCTTAAAAAAAAAAATCTTATTGGACAAAAGGCACCATTTGTGGTTTTGTTTTAAATCAGTAAAATCTGAAGTAAACTTGAGCACTAAAATCTTCTTAACTTTGCAAATTCTATCTAAATAAAGAAAATGCTCTGGTGAAATCCATAATCATCCAGAATTAATAAAATGCTTAAACTATACAGTATTATTTGTTACCTGTTTTTCAAATAAAGTTTAGATGTGTAATCATGGAATACTTGTAAAGGAAGGAAGTTTGACTACTGTTAGCAGCCACCAGGCATGCTTTACTCATCTGCAATTAATACACTGTATAAAATTGTAACTGCAAAAGCAGATTAGAAGTGTTTGAAAACTTGTAAAAAATGGGAGGAATAGGAAAAAGAAAAAAAGACATGAAAACTAGAAAATAAAATGATCACTGCTCACAGACGATATGATTTGATATGCAGAAAACCCTAAAGACTCCACAAAAAACTATTAGAACTAACAAATGAACTCAGCAAAATAGCAGGATACAAAACCAACATGCAAAACTCAGTTGCGTTTCTATACATTAACAATGAACAATCCAAAAAGGAAATTAAGAAAACTGTTTCATTTACAATAGAATCAAAAAGAATAAAATACTTAGAAATTAACTTAACCAAAGAGGTGAAAAACGTGTGCAGTGAAAACCACAAAACACTGCTGAAAAAAATCATTACGAAGACATAAACAAATGGAAACACACTCCTTGTTCACAGATTGGAAGTTGATATTGTTAAGAAAGCAGTACTACCCAAAGTGACCGACAGATTCAGAACAACCCTTATCACAAATCTCAATGGGAATTTTTGCAGCAATAGAAAAACCTGTCCTAAAATTCACATGGAATCTCAAGTGATCCCCAAAAGCCAAAACAACCTTGAAAAAGAACAATGTTGGAGGATTCATAACTCCTGATTTCAAAACTTAGTACAAAGTTACAGTAATCAAAACAGTGTGGTACTAGCATAAAAACAGACATATAGATCAGTGGAACAGAACAAGAGCCCAGAAATAAGCCCTTGTATATATGGTCAAATGATTTTCGGCAAGGGTGCTGAGACCATTCAATGGGGAAAGGACAAGTCTTTTCAACAAAAGGAAAACTGGATATCTATGCAAAAGAATGAAGTTGGACCCTTATCTAACACTGTATATAAAAATTAACTAAAAATGGATCAAGCCCTAAATGTGAAGAATAAAATTCCTATAAAAAATATAGAGCAAAAGCATCATTACATTGGATTTGGCAGTGATATCTTGGATAGGATACCCAAGGCACAGGCAACAAGGAAACAACAGACAAACCGGACTTTATGAAATTAAAAAAATTTTTACATCTAAAGGCACAATCAGTAGAGTAAAAAGACATCCCACAGAATGACAGAAAGTATTTGCAAGACCTATACCTGATAAGGGAGTAACATTCTTAATAAAGAACAACTAAAACTCAACAACACACACAAAAAATCCAATTAAAAAATGGGCAAAGGACTTGACTAGACATTTCTCCAAAAAAGATAAGCAAATGGCCAATATGCACATGAATAGACGCTCAACATCACTAAACAGAAGGGAAAAGCAAATCAAAACTACGAGATACCACCTTATACACATCAGAATGGCTGCCATGAAAAAAATGGAAAATAACAAATGTTGGCAAGTATGCGGAGAAACTAGAACCCCGGTGCACAGTTGGTGGGAATGTAAAATGGTAAAGCTGCTGTGATTGTGGTTCCTCAAAAAATTAAAAAGAGAATTACCATACGATCCAGCAATTCCACTTATGGGTATATACTGAAAACAACTGAAAGCAGGGTCTCCGAGAGACATTTTACACCCATGTTCACGGCAGCGTTATTCACAAGAGGTAAAATGTGGAAGCAACCCAGTGCCCATCAACGGATGAATGGAGAAGCAAAATGTGCCACATATACTACGGAATATTATTCAGCTTTAAAATGGAAGGAAATTTTGATACATACTACAACATGGATGAACTTTGAGGACATTATGCTAAGTGAAATAAGCCAGTCACAAATAACAAATACTGGATGATTTCACTTATTTGAAGTATTTAGAGCAGTCAAAATCGGAGAGAGAAAGTAGAACAGTGGTTAGCAGTGGCTGCGGGAAAGGGGAGAATGAGGAGTTACTGTTTAATACGTGTAGGGTGTCAGTTTCACAAGCTGAAGTGTTAGACAGTAGGTCAACATTATGAATGTATTTAATACTACTGAACTGTATACTGAAAAATCGTTAAGATGGTAAATTTTGCTATGTATATTTTACCACATTAAAAGAAATTGGGGAAAAAACTGGGGAAAAGGAGGGGAAAGAAATAAAGCATTTAACCTCCCTGTTTCAACTGTATTTTAGGTGACTAAAGAGATAATGATATAAGTCCATTTGTCCGTGTCCTGTTCCCCACCCCAAGCCCTCCCCAACGCCCCCTGTAGACTCCCTCTGAGCTGGCATCCGTTCCAATCCTCCTCTATTTTCCGTATGTGGGACACCTCCACAGTGTAGCTGGTGAGTGGAGCAGGCCCGCACCTGGGATCGGAATGCGCAAACCCGGGCTGCCGAAGCCGAGCATGAGGAACTTTAACCGCTCAGCCATGGGGCCGGGCCCCCTATTTTTTTTTTTTTAATAGAAAATTGCAGCTAATAACATACACAGAGGACTGAGAGATTTAGCATGCCACAATTTTGTAACTCCTGTTGTAACTCCTACTGAAATAACTCCTTTTGAAATGATCTTACAATGCTCATTAATAGTTGCCAAAACGATTAGGAGAGCATTATAACGAATGGTCCACGGTGAGGAAAACTGAAGTCTGATCAGACTTAACATCACAAAAGAGAGAACCTAAATCATGTGTCTCATAATTGGCTGAAACAAGCAGCAACATCTAGGAAGTATTTTTGACCAAGAAAAAAAAAAAAAGAGTCTGATTCTGATCAAGGCTCCAAATTTAACTCCTGGTTTAGAGGAAATTCAGGGGACAGTGTTACATGTTAACACCGCAGGGATGGATCAGCAAAATCCAGACTGAGAAATTCTACCACACAGATAATGTTTTTTCCATGTACGTACCTTGTTTAGTTCCTGATTTGATAAAAACACTGGGGCATTCTCAATAGTAAATAAATGTTTGATGATATTAAGGAGTTATTGTTAAATTTTTTTAGTTTTGAAAATGATCTTGTGATTGTTAAAAATAAAAAAGTCCTTATCATTTAGAGATATAGATTGAAATATTTACTAATGAAATGACACTATGTTTGGGATTTCCTTTGAAATTATCTGGGGTGGGAGCGGCTTGTGGGTGGCTGTACAGATGAAATGAGATTGGCCATTTACTGATAATTGTTGAAGCTAGGTGATGATCAAAAGTGCATATATCACACTATTCTGTCCAGTTTTCTATGTTTAAAATTTTCCATATTAAAAAGTTTTAAAAAGCCTTTGAAATATTTTAATACATAGCCAAATATTTTTCTTATAATTAAGTTTATCACATTAGTCAAAAATTTTTAAATGGAAAGAGAAAGAAACATCAGGCAACATGTGTCTAAATTACCGTAAATTCACAATAAGTGGAGAATCCAAAAACCACAACTAAAGACTTATTTTTTATATCCAGTATTTTTTATATGTATCCAATATCACCGACTTCCTTATAACCCTTTAGTTTTAACATTCAATTCAATAGCAAATGACTACTAAGAAATCAAATCAAATCAAATCTCATAATTCTTTGGCAGTTTAAAAGAAATATATTTATGTGCAACTCACCTGCTGTAAAATCTTCAGTCAGATCAATAAATGCATGAGAATGCGGAATTCGAGGTTTACTTTTAGTGGTCAATGCAGGATGCCATGACAAATTCCTAAAAAAAAAAAAAAAATCATTTTATTAAGGCAAACATAAAAATGACCATTGTTCTAGAACAGAAAAATCTGTGCATGCAAGGTATTTTTAAAATTCATTTACTTTTACTGAGATATTTCACATACCATAAAGTTCACTCTTTTAGAGTGTATAATTTAGTTGATTTTTAGTACTTTCACAGTGTATAATCATCACCATTATCTAATTCCAAAACACGATGGTCACCTCAAAAAGAAATCCCATAACCATTACTTATTTCTCATTCTCCCTTCCCTGGAGCCCCTGGCAACCACTAATTTGCTTTCCGTCTCTATAGATTTCCCCACTCTGGACATTTCGTGTAAACGCAGTAACATAATATATTGCCTTTTGTGTCTGGTTTCTTTCACCTGGAATAACGTTTTCAGGTTCATCCATGTTGTAGCATGTGTCAGTACTTCAGTCCTTTTAATGGCTGAATAACATTTCATTGTATGACTATACTTTTTGTTTATCTGTTCATCTGTTGATGGACATTTGGCTTGTTTCCAGTCTTGGCTATTATAAGTAACGCTACTATGGATATTCATGTACGTGTTTTTTGTGGACATATGTTTTCAATTGTTTTGGGTATACACTGAGGAGTGGAATTGCTGGGTTACATGGCAACCGTATGTTCACTTTTCTGAGGAACTGTCAAACACTTTTCCAAAGTGGATTCACCATCTGACACTCTCATTAGCAACGTAGTACTGTTCCAACACCTCCATTTCTCTGTCAACACTTACTACTGTCCATTTGTTTTATGATAGCTATCCTAAAAAGTATGATAGTATTTCGTGGTTTTGAATTGTATTTTCCTGATGGCTAATGATGTTGAGTAGGTTTTCATGTGCTTATCAGCTACTTATATATCTTCTTTGGAGAAATGTCTATTCAAATCCTTTGCCTATTTTTAAATTGGGTTATTTATTGCTTTATTTTTGAGTTGTAAGAGTTCTTTATATAGATTGAATACTAGATCTTATCTGATATGTGATTTGCCAATGTTTTCTCCTATTCTGTACACTGTCTTTTCACTTCCCTGGTAGTGTCCTGTGATGTACAAAAGTTTTTATTTTTGATGATCCTGAATCATCTATTTTCTCTTTTGTCACCTGTTCTTTTGGTGTCATATCTAAGAATCCATTTCCAAATCTAAGGGCATGAAGATTTACCCCTATGCTTCCCTCTAAGCTTTATAGTTTTAGCTCTTATATTTATGTCTTTGATTCTTTTCTTTTTCCCTGAGGAAGATTTGTCCTGAGGTAACATTCATTCCAATCTTTCTCTATTTTGTATGTAGGCTGCTGCTACAACATGGCCACCAGCAAGTGCTGTAGGTCCCCGCTGGGAACCGAACCTGGGCTGCCAAAGCAGAGCATGCTGAACCTAACCACTAGGCCATGGGGCTGGCCCCAATACTTTGTTTTAAGTATAAGAAATGATTTAATATTATCACTGATGGTTTTTTCCAAGTCTGTGGAGAATGACAACGATTATCTTCTAGGAATATTAATTCCAAAGTTTTAAGCCATATAATAGAATGAATTTAGATCCCATCTTGCATTGTATACCAAAAATTAACTCAAAACAGATCATAAAGCTAAAACTATAAAACTCTCAGAAGAAAACATAGGGGTAAATCTTCATGACCTTGGATATGCAAATCTTATTTCTGATAAGGGCCTAGCATCCAGACTATATAAAGAACTTCTCCAACTCAACAACAAAAAGACAAACAACTTAATTAAAAAACGGGCAAAGGACTAGACATATCCAAATGGTTACCAAGCACATCAAAAGATGCTAAACGCCACTAGTCATTAAGGAAATGTAAACCAAAAACACAATGAGAAACCACTTCACAACCACAAGAATGGCAATAAGCAAAAGCCAGAAAATAGTATTGGATGGATGTGAAAAACAGAAACTCTTATATATTGCTGCTGGCAATACAAAATGGTGCATCAGTTGTAGAAAACAGTTTGGCAGTTCTTCAAAAAGCTAAACATAGAATTACCATATGACCTTGCATTTCTATACCTAGCTATATAACCAAAATAAGTGAAAACAGGTATTCAAACAATACTTGTACCTGAATGCTCTTAGCAGCACTATTCACAATAGCCACAAAGTAGAAATAATGCAAATATCCATCCACCAAGGGATGAACGGATAAATATCATATATCCATACAATGGAAATATTATTCCGCCAGAAAAAGGACCAAAGTACTGACACATGGTATAAAACGGATAAACCTTTAAAACATTATGCTAGGTGAAAGATGTCAGACATAAAAGGTCGCATCCTGTATTATCCCATTTATATGAAATACCCCTAACAGACAAATCCATAGAGACAGAAAGAAGATTATTGGTTACCAAGGATGGGGTAGGGTAAAGAGACAGTGATTTCTTAATTGGTACAGGGTTTCCTTTTGGAGTGATAAAAAACTATTGCAACTAGATGAAAAGCTATTGGAACTAGGTGACAGGGCTGTACAACACTGTAAATGTACTGAGTATCATTGAACTGTACACTTCATAATGGTTAATTTTATGATACATAAATTTTATCTCATTAAAAAAATAAATAGTATGAAGTTTTCATATATCCTCATCCAGTTTCCCCTAACGTTAACATCTAAGATAACCAGAGTACAATTATAAATACTAGGAAGGTCACACTGGTTGACTATTATGAACTATAGAAAGAAGAGCAACTTTAAATAAAATCATTCCCCCACAATTCCTCAGGAGTAGAGAACACTCCAGTGTCAAAGGCACTCCCTCCCACTTATTAAGACCCTACTCACATCAGCTTCCTCCTTAAAAGGCCTTTGCTCTTCTCTTACTGTTTTCCTATTAACATTTTTCTCACTGACAGCACTGTGGTTTGCATTAAAGTCACTTGAGGAACTATCTCCGAGAGCGTAAGCTCCTTTAGAGCCCCATGACTCACAGATACTTGTATCTACAATGTCTAACCAGAACCTGGCTCCCAAACACTGGTGGACGTGAATTACAGTCTTGTGAGCAAATACTAGCTGGACTGAGTTATATTCTCAAGCAGAATGTCCTACTCTTCTCTACTTCTGCTTAGAATTTGCTATTTTTTTCATAGTACTATGTTCCAGTCCAATATGAAAGCACAGATATGTCACCTCTGAAGAGCAATTTAAGGCTCATTAAGTCCAGTTTAATTGTGAACGTAGTATCCAATTGACTGGACAGCAAACAAACTTTATTCCTGAATTTGGTTTTGATGTGTTTGGAAAGTGGAGAGAAACGATTAACTAATTTGTTCTTGGCAGTTGGAATCTGAGAAAAGATTAAGCGTTCATCAGGAGAAAATTTTCCCTACACAAAGGGTCCATGTTCTACAAACACTAACTTCTCGATAACCTTTTTCCACACTCTTTCCAGCACTCACTGGGCCTGATCTGTAACCTAAACGAGATCGTAAAAACAAAACCAAGCAGTATTTATACAACCTGATTTTATTATTTTAACCCAAACCCCATAATTTTAGGTCACCACAATAAGATATTAAAATAAATTGAGAAATTGTATTTAGTCTTTGTTGTAAAGTAATCCAACGCCAAGCATTCATGTCATGTTCTTCTCTCATACTATGCAAGGTTAGAAATGCTTAAAATAATTGCAATTAAGTCCAATTTAATAATGGCCGGTTGACTTCTTTTTAAGACAGGCCATTTATTCATCAGTTTTTAAATTCTATGCATTAAAGTATTTTTAATTATTAACAAAATAATCAGACTCACCCTGGAGATTCTATGACAAGTTTAACCCAAAGTCATTTCAGAAGTTTCCTAATGTTCCCAACAAATTTGTAATTACAGGTCAAAAGTGAGTAAAAAAACACAAGCTCTTACAGAGTTCGGCTCAATGAAGTTAATCATGCGGCTGTCTTTAATTACTACCTGAACAGTTATTGATCTCATTCCCTGTAGAATTTTTTTTGGGGGGGCAGATAAGGAAGATTGGCCCTGAGCTAACACCTGTTGCCAATTTTCCTCTTTGTTTTTTTGCTTGAGGAAGATTGTTGTTGAGCTAACACCTGTGCCAATCTTCCTCTATTTTATGTGGGACTCTGCCACAGCGTGGCTTGATGAGTGGTGCTAGGTCCACGCCTGGGATCTGAACCTGCAAATCCCGGTTGCCAAAGCGGAACATATGAAGTTAACTACTATGACACTGGGCTGGCCCCTAGAGTTTTTTTATAGTTTGAAATAAGCTACATCTGGAATTTTGGAAAATCTCCACTAACTTGTGACATTTTATCCTAGGAGCTACTTAACAAGATGCACATTTCAAATGAAGAAATCTAGAATAGTGATAAGGCAGAAGTCATAAAGTGGCAGACCATGGGCCAAATTCATCATAATGATGTGTTTTATTTGACCCACACATTGTTTTGAAAATTCTGAATTCACTGGTAAAACCTAAATAAAAAAATCAGATTTCACATGAAAATCTGGATTTCCAGCTTCTCTTGAAATATCTGAATGTCTGGGAACCAAGTGGCTCTTTTCAGACAGATCTAGTGCCTGCAGGCAGCTGAAGTCCCAGTCTCCCCAACTGCTTCACTCGCTATGGTTTCCTAATGGGCCCCTGCAGACATCTGAGTTTGCAACTCCTAACAGAATATTAACTGTAATCTTGCTTTCTTGAACATTTTAAATCAATGTTCAAGTTCGTCACAGTATTTTAAGTTTTATACTTGTTATCTATAGTCTGCTATTTTACATTAACATCTCTTAAAAGGTAGTTAGCTGATCCTTATAGTTTATTTTACACACAGTGTCTATTTACTATTCTGACGCTTACCGAAGTTGGGTGAAAGAGAGAGCTGTTGTTTCTTTTTGTGATGCATTTTAAGATGGTCGAAAATTGAACATACATACAGTTGTCTATCAGGATTAAATTGTTTAAAAATTCACAGTTGAAAATA